TAGGAATTAACCAATAATAATTGACCAATAATTCTCTTAGGATATTGGATGAATATCCCCTAACACTACTACTATATATCAAACTCGAATGCTTCTAGATAAAATTTAAGATCGATCAACAAAACCTTTTTTTACGTACGACTACGCTGGTAAACCAGTAACTAGCTATGAAATTCGAAGAAGGATATGGCGTTAGGTCATCATAATCGATTCACAGATATGGGTACTTGACTTGACTTTACGAACAACTTCATTATGATGCATTGGCATTTCAGCTATCCAGTTCCAAACTTGAAACTTATCGTATCTACTTTGGGCGACAGAGTAGTGTGTCACCACCTCGCTGTACACTAAATATTTGGGATCGAATTGAACAAACGACGTTAATCATACAATCATACAGAACTAATCGGTAGATTTGTAGACAAAAGAATAATTGATTCATAGGTATTTACTGTATATTTTTTTTAAAAAAAATAACTTACAATTTAAGATCAGCTTCAAATTCTGAGCGTAAATTAGGTTTGGACATTTCAAAACCCATGGAATCATAACCTTGAAACGGAAAAAAAATTTCAGAGCATTAGAGTTCAAGTCCGTAAATAAGTACGATAATGATGTTGGGGATGTTAGATCTCCATGAGTCACTCGGAAAAGGTCCTCATTTTGTAATTTTATTGTGAAATTTTGAATTTTTTGTGTTTTCGCGCCAAAGACGCTCATTTCGACCTTGAGCTTGCATTTCCCACTCGCAAAATCCTTGACTGTGATTGGTTGATGGATTATTTTAATATGCTATTTTGTGGCTCTCACCAAGGGCATTGCTATCATTGTATAAATAAGCTTGAGTTCTGTGCTTGGGAACCTCAAACATTCTGGGTGCTTATCACGACTTACTGATCTAGATAGCAAGGCCTGGGACAAACGGATTAGAATAGCCTACCGTGTCACTGTATCGTTGAGCTTCGTTCCGTTTACTGCGTAAGGTGAACTCGTAATGGTTTCAAGCATATTAAACGAAAATATTTTTACTTAATTGAATACAAAGGAGCACCGAAATATAGATGAGTCAAATAAATTATTCTGTTTATATGTGGGATGACTCAGCAGGTGCTCAAACAAAAACATGTGGTCTTTTTAAAAGGCCAGCCTCGGAACCTATCATCCCACAGATTTAATTCACAACGCAGTATGGCACCGTTAGGAAATGTCAGTCTTATGGTAGCCAATGGGTCAACAATAGATTTCTTACGCTATTTTACCCCTCAGGATTCTGGAGCATGTGTGCACATTATTGGTTTGGAATCAGGGTTTTTCAACTCACTAAAGTGGATATGCCTCCGTGTCACTAACCTGGTCTAGGCATCCTCTCAGTTTTGGAAGACTCCCATTGATAGTGGCTAAATACGCGTGGCTGTATGAGAACATCCAGTGAAGAAGAGCGGACTAATCCCAACCTTGGCCATACCACGTGTATTTAAGGTCAGATTACTATCGACAATCATGATGAAACACAATTTTGTGATCATTATTGCAAACACTATGCATGAATGGATAATGGAAATATTGTTTATGTAAAAATTCAAGGAATCATTATTCTATCATAGTGGCTTCTCTCATATTTAATTCAGGCTTGAATAATCAAGCATTGTTTCAACAAGGCTGATACTTCAAGTCGAACGAAGAAATCACTAACTATCAAGCGCATAACACTTGACAGGATTGAAATTCAATCACACTGTTTACTCTACAACGACTGCCACTAGATAATGTTGACGTTCATTCAATGTATCTGTGCGAAAGCTAATCATTCAGCTGAGAAAATCCCAACATGATTATAACATTCCCCAACGTGATTCACAAAAATTCAATTCTTTATCAAAAAAAACACAAAGACAAACCTTCCACTAAACCCATTCCTAATTGACCTGGAACAAGAAATTATTTTGTTCTAAACCGACATAAGTCTTTGCTGATTTGTTTCAATATGTTTCAGCATGTGTTGCGTCTGTACCAATGCCATGACGATCCACTAAGTGAAATAAGATCAGCTTCTTGTAAGTAAAGGCGGTGGACTTGTTTGACCAGAAACTATCTAAACGAAAGATTCAGTAATGAAATAGTTCAATTGAAATTAAACAAATATATTAGATTTTTTCTCAATTAGAGTTATGGAGATTAGTGTTTTTACAAATGTGATTCATTAATCCATCATTGTTAGACCACTATTAGATATCTCAGTCAGTCAGTGGCTGATATGGAGAAGAGGCAACGACGAGTGTCTCTATCCTGTCGAATCCTTACTGTTCCGTTTAGTCGGACAGCGCACAAACGACTATCTACAGGGATCCAGTCAAGGAGAGTTTGTTCTGCCCTACGACTCAATGCTATACCTACACCAGCGAGACCCCTGGAAGCAGCATCAGGGCTACCGGATACACGAAGGGTAAATCGAGCTGCTTCTTTATCTTGACATGGCGAGGTCAAGTGAACGATGCTACTCGGATAGTGTATGCGCAGTACACATCGATGGCACGAGATTCTAAAGTCCTAGGTAATAATGCCTGTTGCCCTATTTGACACAATGTCCGTACATTAAATGCACCAACATGTAGTCTAGAACGAGGTTTCAAGAGACCAAGAACGACGTTTCGCGAATTCG